GCACTGGAGTCGACTCAAGTCGAGTAGAGTCGGGACTCAAATGTAGCGCAACTAAGCTCAATTTACAGTTCAGCAAGCTTTTGATTGTTGGCTGATGTGTTTATTTGATTTTAAATATGCCGCTTAAATATTTTGACTATTTATCAGAGGGCATTAGAGCACTGTGCTGCCGCTGGCCGCCAGCCGCCAGCCGCCTCAAGTGGCAGCCGTTGCTCTGGCATTGTCTTCATTGTTGCTGCTGTTGCTGTGATTATTGCTAAGAGGCTTAAACGCCTCGTCGCTCTCGAGCCGAACTATTCGAGGGACCTAAGCCCGGACAGTTAACAAATGATTACAAACAGTGCAACAAATTGTTAAAAATAAATTATGATTTTATTATTATTTAAATGCCGGGCGGCGGAAGCAGAGACCAGCTGCTCAGACACGGCCCACAGTGTTAAAGCGGAACGCCACGGCCATAATTTAGAGCCCGAAAAGAAAAACGAGAAAAACCAAGCTGCCCGCTTTTCCCCCTGCGGACTGCAGTCTCGCTCCTGTATGTGTGTGCGCCACTCTCTCAATGGGTGTGTGTGTGTGTGTGTGTGTGAGTGTGAGTGTCGCCTGAAACTACAAAAGACCGCATTGTGTGTGATTTATACACCTTAAGCTTCGATGAACGCTATTACACAAACAGCCAGCAGTGCTTGGGGCATCGACATAGAGACCGTTTTTTCTTCTTTTGGCAACTTGGCGCATAGCCACCAGACAAAGCGGCAGACGCCGACATTTGGCGGCAATGAAGCCATAGCCATGAAATGGAAATGCATTCAAGTGTGTTTAAGCCCGTGCAGCCTCTGGTGCCGACTCCACTCCTACACCCACTCTCCGCCTGTCCGCCTGTCCGCCTGTCTGCCTGCCACGGCCAAATACGTATGCGACTCCAGATAAGACGTGCTCGATAGAGTCCACAGAAAAAAAATGAACTCATTTTACGCCTGCATCTTTGTGACTGTCTCCTCTTCTTACCATCTCCCATCCCAAATCGCTAGCTCTATCTCCCAGGAACTCTGTGTGTGTTTGGGTGTGTATGCGAGCCAGTTGACGTTAACAAGCAGAAGCGTACGACGGAATTGAAAAAAAACTGTAGGAAGAAGTTTATCAAGTCAATTGAGACCTGCGACAAAAGACCAAGCAGCAGCGGCAGCACCAACAACAGTCGTTGGCCGTAAGCATCAGCATCAGCATCAGCATCAGAACCAGCAGCAAAAGCATCGGCAGCAGCAGCAGCAGCAGCGTCATCATCTCAGCGACTGCTTTTGGCTGCAATGTCTGAATCATCAACGTGTGGCAGCATTGTCGTGTGCATGTCGTCGGTATCTTTATCAGCAGGCCCGCAGATGCAGCAGGGAAGAGCAGGCGAGGCAGCGCGACAATGGCATCATCTGAATGGCAATGTATATAGTTTTAGATTGCCGAACAAAGGCAAGACAGTAACATCGGAGAGGAATCTAATTTGCATGCAATACGATTTTTGATAAAAGCTTTTACCCCAACATCAAATAAAAAGAAAAAAGACAATGCAACAACACACTCAGAGTCTTCAGCTGTGTCCGTGCCACATCGCATCGCTCGACTATTCATAAGAATAACACCCAAAGCCAGATAAGAAAAGCCAGGGACAGAGACAGATATAGATATAGATGAAGATGGAGATGAGGATGGGGATGAGGGTGGATATAAGAGGATGAAGCCAGTGCTAGAGCCAGAGCCAGAGCCAAAGGCAATCAAAAAGTGCATTTGCGTGTGCCGTTTGCTGTCGCCCCAAGCTGAGCATCGTAGAGTGTTGGGGCTGACGCTGACGTCGAGGAGTCTCCCAGGTAACTAGTTGCGACCCCAACGGGTGGAGCCCCATGAGCACCCTGAGAAGCATGAACTGCAAGTCACAATTTGACACATGATCCATGGCATTGTCGTGTCTGACACGCGTTTTATCTCCGCATTGGGAATCTGCGGGGGCGAATGCCATTGAGAAGGGTCTGTCGGGGAGCGGGTGTGGGCGTGGGCTTGCACATGATGTGCATGCATGCGTTTTCCTAAATGATTTCCAAAGAATTTTTATTGGTGAAAAAGGAAAAGCGAAAGCGAAAACGAAAACAAAAACAAAAGCACTGCCAGCTCCGGGCCGGATCATGCAACATCGACAGACAGAACGACTGAAATGGGGAGCGTAGGAAACTTTATTGGCGTCTTCAAATTGTCAACTCGAAGTTCCGAAGTGTTTTATTTTATGCTTTGTTTCTCATATTTTCCGATGCCTTTTGTTGCCCTGCCCTGCACTGCCCTGCCCTGCCCCTTGTTTTATCGCACATCTGTAAAAGGGCTGCGCCGGCTATAGCTATGGCTATGGCTGTGACTTTGAGTTTGAGTATCCGAATGAGTGGAGTGCGGGAGGGATTGTGAGAGTATTGCTGTGGGCAATGGTTATGGGGCCGTTGGGCTGGAGTCGAAGTTGAAGACTATGACGATGGCTTTTTATTATGCGCATTTCGGTTTTTATGCCTCGGTTCCGGCATGTTTTCGTACCCATATCTAAATATCGTACTTAAACGTTTACATGTGTGAGCGATGCGATGCGATGCGAAGGGACAGAGACCCGTTGGATAGGGGAAGAGAGCCCCGCTCTCCATTTAGTAAGCGGAGTGTCAATATTTATTTTGGAAGGGTTTTTAATGATGTGGCTGGTTTTATGGGGCATCAAATGGCTCTGTCAACACTTGCTCGACCACGTCTTTTGCAATGCCTTCGATAATGTTTCGATGTCTATTAAATCAATCATTATTTTTCATACTTTATGCACATTCCCATTTAAAGTCGGGTGTCATAATACCGATTAACAGAACGAATGAATGGGAAGGTAAGGCTTTGTACAGCATGAGATACTTCGAAAGTCCCCGAAGTATGAAAGCAAAAAATACTTGAACTTGTTATCTTCTGTATGCAGGCTTCAAACAAAACAAGAAAAGAAATAACATTGCTAACAAAAGCCTTTGATTGATCCCCGTCATGTATGATAGTTGCTTGATTTGCCTGAGACGAAAGTGGTTCTTGAATTAATATTTCATATTTATTTATATTGTTTAACCCCTGAACATTGCATATATTTCTGTTAAACTGGAATGATATAGAAATTTGATATCGAAATATTCGCTCAAAAAGTATCTATTACTTTTTTATTACGATTGTACGAGTACAGTGCACTCTGATAGACTTTAAATTCATTAACTGAATCGGAGCGGACTGCATCTGCATCTGCATCTGCGGCTTTCAGAATATGGTCGAAAAGGAATAAAAATAAAAGGCAACGAAAGAACTGGGAGTATTTAAATTTTAAGAGAAATAAAAACTTTCTTTTATGGCTCCAATTATAATTTGATAAAACTCCAATTTTATGGATCGCACTCGTTGGCAGAGCTCATTCCGAGAAGATATCCGCAAATTGGCGTGACATTCGAGAGGAGCCGGAAACTTTAACCTGGCAAAATGATACTCAAGATGGGGATTGCGTGCACCTCTGGCTGGCTGGGATGGCTATGGCTACGGGCGGGATGGCTGCCTTTGAATGGCTCCGGTTGCTGTTGCTGCGGGTATCGGCCACAAAAACTGCCGCCAAGTTCATAACGAGCAATACTTTTTTATTGGTTTTCGCATGTGCCAGGAACCCCTAAGGCAACTAAAAATTTACATTTTTATTAAAATTCCCCCTCTCTTGGCTGGGAAACTATATGAACCATACACTCGTACTACATACATACGTATGGGCCTGCTTATGTATACGTATTACATGTGCGCTTGTGTGGGGAATGAAATTGAATTCGACTGTGATTTCGGGACTTGGCTCAGCATGGGCATGGAGAGACAGGGCAATCTAAGTCCATGGGGCCGTGGGGCCATGGGGGGGTGAACACAGTGGGGGCATAAATTGGTATTTATTGAACAATGGATGCGCCTCGAGGATACTTAATTAGGACTGTCCTGGCCAAATGGGGGCTGAGTGGAGTGGGCTGGGCTCTCTGGTTCTGGTAAGCCGCTTACAAGTTGGCTTACCTGCCCTGGCTCCCATCAATCAAACCGAAGTATGGCTATTTTGACAGCTATATTCGAAATTTTCCAGCCTCCCCGTGTGCACCTTGTGCTCCGTGTGGGGGTGGGGCATGTATAAGGGGAGACAGCGGGTGACTCGACTCTTTTCTGGACTTTCGCTCCCGCTCAGATCCAGTCGATTCCTTCGTCCTTCAGGCGTACGGCACAGCTGCTGCTTTCCCTGCGCTTAGAATTCATTTTCAACTTGCCCATATATCTACATATACTATATGCATAATAAATTTCCATTTGCTTATGTTAACGTTAACGTTTAACCCACACAACGCAGCGACGCTGCCGCTGCCCTCTCGCTGCCCTCTCTCTTTCTCTTTCTCTCTGCATAGGTTCAAACTGGTACGCGCCGCCTTAAACATGTGTTTATGGATGCTGTGTGGCATGTGGCTGTGTGTGTGCGTGTCTGTGTGCTTTGCTTACATATTATGTACATATTTTTTGGCCTCTTGTTTTGCACGCCGTCGATAAGCGCGCCGGCCCCCACTCCGGCTCCGCTTATCAAAAGTTGCCCAAGCCCCAGCCGCATCCCCATCCCCATCCCCATCCCCATCCGCAGCAGCAGTCCAAGCTGTTTACTTGAGCAACAATCTGCTGCCAGACACACAGCAGCCAGCCAACACCAAGAACCCAGCAGCCAGCACCCAGCAGCCAGCAGCCAGCTCTCAGCAGAGCCAAGTCCCGGCCCAAGCCTCAGTCTCAGTTCCACTCTTCGTGGCAGAGTCGAGGCAGTTTTCGGTGCTTAAAGCTCTTAAGACTTTAACGCGACTTTAATACATACTGTGCATCCCTATACATCAGCGGCGACCCTCAATCCCATCTTCGTCTTCGCCTCCGGTAACAACTGCTTCCGAAATTTTAAATTCACAATGCGGCGCACACTTCGATTGATTCTGCTCCGGCTCGTCCTCGTCATCCTGCTGTCGACATTGTGCCACACACGTAAGCCACATACAGTCAGAGCCCGGCAGTGGCATTGGCCATTGATAATGCATAGATCGAAATAAGAGGAGTACTCTTCTCTGTATCTCCTGTCTGACGTAGAGCCCAGCTGCCAGACGCCGACGCCCGCCAAGAGCCCCGGCCAGTGTGTGCACTTCAGTGCCTGCCGCTTCGTCCTGCGCGAGTACGCGATGTACAAGGAGCACATGCCACCCGCCGTGATGCGGTTCCTGCAGAGATCCCGCTGCAGGCCCAAGCGCGACGGCGTAAGTTGGAAAAGCCATTAGGGCAGAGGGGGTCCTAGGGCGTGGGGCCGAATAAAACTGTCTGGCAACAGCAATAACAATCGAATGGCTCTAATTCTAATGAAATTTCTCTCTCTCTGTTTCACATGGCATTGTGTGGCATGCGGCATGCGGCATGCGGCGTTCCTCCTCCTCACCGGCAACATCAACATCAACATCAACGCGGACAACAAAGTATCATTTGTGCTGCGAACTCAAAGATGTGATTCCCGCGAACGCCAACTCGAAGCTGAAGTAAATCAACTTCAAAGTACATCATGTGTGGCACACTCGTACTCGTATCCGTGCATGTGGGTGTGTGGATGTGTGCTTTGATCTGCCGGATTGCTGAAGGCAGGATTGTTTGGGAACACGGGTGCTGTGCCCAAAATGTTATGGTTATGCGGCAGCGTCTGTAATTATAATGTGTACACGAATTATGTATTAAGTGCGCCTCGCCGTCTCGTCAGGCAAGGCAGCAGATGCTGAGACACAATAAAAATGAAAAGTTTAGCTCTAATCTTGGGAGCTTCTGCACGCGCGGGTAGTTCTTTGACTTCCCCGGACAGAGCACCATCGCACATAACTGATTTTGTATGCCGTTTTATATCTAAATTTGATCCAAATCCTTCTCAGGCGATGGATTAAAGACTAAAGTGTCAAATCTATAGTGAAAATAAAGCCTATTCTATTCCAAATATTAAAACCACAATTTTAAACCAATATTTTTTTATCGAGTGTCTACAAAAACAGTTTAATTCTAGGCGTTAAAGTCGGCGTTCTCCTATGAAAAGGGAAACATGTAAAAATTGAATATTAAATTGTACATTCATGCACATTTTTCCTGTTTCCTGTTTTCTTTTAATTTTTACATTTCTCCTTTTCGGCGTGCACTGCAGCTGTAGTCTTAATTGGTCATAGGAATTTTCTAGCAAATTTTGAACTCCTGACTGTGGCTTGCAATAATTAAATTGCTAGACTGGAGTAGTCTGATACCTGATGGCTCCCAAATTCCTTTTTACTTTTGGTAATCAATCTATGTACACATATCCTGCTAGTTGTATTAGCAGCAAATGATTCAATTAAAGTTCAGTTCGGGTTTGTTATGCCCTCAGCATTTACCCGACTTACTTTCCGATGTTGCATTCAAAAATAGTGGCAGCCAGCGGCGTGAGTTAATTTAGTTTTGATTTATGTATCTTTTGTGGCAGCCCTCGTCGCTTTGCTGGCCCGCCTTTCCCCCTGTTGTGTGCTTTAATGTGCCAGATTTTAAGTGACATTCGGGAGACGCTAAAAGGCCGTCTAAAAATCACGCAACATTAAAATGATTTATGCAGAATAATTTCAGTGTAAATGAAGCAGACTCCGGGCTGACCGGACCCACAGCCGGCAATCCCGCAGTCGACAAGCAGCCGGTTGCCAGAAACATTAGTGGTTAGTCCAGACCATAGATGAGGACTGGAGGTTGAGCTGGATCTGCAGCCTGGGCTGGGGCTGGGGCTGGGGCTGGGGCTCGGTCTGGGGCTCGGTCTGGGGCTGAGGCGTTGAAATGTAGACACCTTGTGCGCGCAAGCTGCTCGAATTTCGAGCCCATGCCGGAGGCGACTCGGAGGCGCTGGCCAAAACTGTTCGAGGGGCAGGGACAGCGGCAGGACAGCGCCAGAGACATTGTCAGAGGCTGCAGCTGAGCTGTTGCTGTTTTTGCTGGGGCGGCTGCAACACGAACGCGCCGCCCAGTCGCTGAAATTGCAGACAGCGGCCAGCAGCAGCAGATGATAAATGGCCCGAGAGCACATTTGAGCTGCTGCTTGATGTTGCTGCTGCCGCTGCTGCTGCTGCTGCTGCTGCTGCCGCCGCTGCTGCTGCTGCTGATGCTGATCTATTAGACAAACGCACGCCCAAGGCGTCTGCTCGCACATACTCATGCATATTTCTCGCCCGGACCGGGACTCGTATCCGAGATGGGGCATTCCCCATGCCCGACGCCCAACGCACGACTCCATTGGCTATTTATGGAAAGTTTACCATGAGATAAAGTTGAACAACATGCCAGAAAAACGGCAATTTTCCTGATTATTTTTGTCGCTTTTAAACTAAAAATCTCTGGCTGTCAGAAATTAAATGGAAAGCAGCTTCTAAAGCGCGCCTGCTGCTGGAAAGTTGCCTTTTGCGTGCAAACATGTTTAGGATAATGCAGCTGCACTCTCCTCGGCTTTGGAGTTGGCCAGCAGCTCCACCGCTCCAACGCTCCATCTTTCCCCTCTGTTGCTGGGCATTGTTGAAGTATTTGCATTGTTGCTGTGCTGCTGTGTGTCTGATGCTGTTGCGGTGCAACAAATGTTGTTAACAAGCATATTTTGACAGCTCAACAAGATGTTGCCAGATGCGCGAACAGCAACAGCAACAGCAACAGCAACATCAGAAACAAGTGCAACACCAACAGCAATGAGGCCATATGCATATGTTGCATGCATTTTAGATGCCATAAAAGGCGGGCAGACGCAAGACAGTCCATATGGGGGTGACTATGGGAAAGTTGTGGCTTTTGATACTCGAACGAGTATGCCTCGGCCGGTGGTCGGGGACTCTGGCTCTAGCCAGAGGGGCAAGTATGGCCATGGCAATTGAAGTTAGTGAGGCGCAGAGTCCATTGCTTTCATCTGGGTTGTTGTTCTGTTGCTGGTGCTGGTCCTGAGCACTCGAGGGCATAAAATGTGGAGCATATTGTTCTTGTTGCCTTCTGTCCCATAAACATGGGGCAACAACAAAGTTGCCCTGTCGGCTGAGCCTTGTTTTTATTTTTAAAACTATTTTGTGCATTTTAATAAACATTGCAGCACGTTTAATGAAATGTGGATGGGATCGGGATCGGGGGCACACATACATGGGGAATGAGAGGGGAAGACGCCAGTGCGGTCGCATCTCTGCAACTGCCAGGCAACTCCTGGCCACATCTATTTGCTAATTGCATTTCGTTGTTGTTGCGCAAGTGTTTGTTGTCCTGCGGTTGCATACCTTTCACGCGCACTGTTACGGTTACCACTGCTCCTGCCGGCTGCCGGCTGCTGGCTGCTGGCTGCCTGATGCATGCTGCATGCTGCCTCTACCTCCTGCCTGTGTCTCGGTTTCTGTTTCAGTGCCTGCCGTGTCTGTCACTGCCTCTTCTCCACACGTCACTTTGGTTAAATATCGCTTTGTTTCTGTCGCAACTGACACATCTGAATGTCTTCTCCTTGTCTCCCCGTCTACATCCACATGGTATTCCCACCGCATAACCACCTCCATCCCATCCCATCCCATCCCATCCCATCCCATCCTATGCCATCAGGTCGAGTCACATCACATCGCGTCTTGTCTATCGCATGGCAAAGAAAATGCAATTAACGAGCGCTATCAAAATTGCAATGCGGGGAAATTCGCCTTGGAAATGAAAGGCGTACAAACAAATGGCTGGCATGTGGAAAGCCAAATTGCTTTACATACTCCCATTGACACGCCGAAAGAGGGGGAGTTGCAACGGCTTTATGGTTTCATGGAAGTCTAACAATCTTTCTGCAGGAGTGCAAGGAAATGCTTGGACCACTCCAACTTTGGTCAGAGCTAACTCTATATACTAGTACATACATTTAAGCAATTACCTGCGTCTCGAATAGTCACAATCGATTATTGTCTCAATATCACGACAATAGCATTGTCCTTTGAGTTACCATTGAGAGGCCATTCCATTTCCATTAAATACGTACATACTCGTATGCACATGCCACAGTCTCTTTTTACTTCGGCTTGCTGCTAATTTGTTGCAAATTTGGAGCATGCTTTCGAATCGATTCGCATCGAGCCTGAGTGACTTTCAGGGCAATCGCAAATTGCACAAATGTTCGGCTTAATGAACCTTGAGCTGACATGCGGAAAGGGCATGGGGATGGCCGGATCAGCTCTAGGACTATGACTAGGACCAGCACCGAGACCACAAACAGGACAAAAACGTTTCCAGCATTTTTCTGCCAATCACGAGGAGCAACAAAAACCAAGAGGCAAAACGATGACGATGACAACGGCAACGGCAACGGCAACGGAGAAGAAGCAAAGCCAAATTGCAAGCAACCGCAAATTCAATAAATTTGAAAAGCAATTAATAACTGATTGACAAGTATTTATCTAGACGGAAATGGCGAGCCAGCACAAAAAACCGGAGCCAAAACAAAGGCAGCAGCAGCAGCAGCAGCAGCAAAACGGAAGCGAAGCGATGCGGAGCGGAGCGGAGCGGAGGAGCCGGCATCCATCCACAGAGAGGATGCAAAAGGCAGCAACGATGTTGTCCAGGGGAAACCGAAACCGGGCAAATAAGCGTAATACGTTGGCCAAACACCGAGCCAGAAGCAGCTTGAAACAGAACCTGGAGAGGAGCTGGAGCTGCTGGTGGGGAAGTGGGGAAGTGGGGAAGTGCGGTGCCGAGCCGTGCCGGCGGAGTAGGATGCCAGCCCCTGGGAGATGGCGGAAATTCAAAACCCAAAGTCAAATGGAACACAGCAATATAACGCAACGAATTGACGGAGACCAGATAAAAGAACAATCAACAATACGAGCAACAACAGCAACAGCAGCAACCAGAGAGGTCCAGTTCTAGTCCGGTCCGAGTCCAGACTCGAGAGTCCAACGGGCCAGAAGATGTAGCATAAAATGTAGCGAAAACTTTGGAAAAATCATTAATAATGCTGGGAAAGCGCACTGGCATTGGTTTGCCGAGAGGACAAGCGCAAGGACATGCAGCTCGGCTCTCGCGCCTCGCTCCCGGCCCCCGGCTCCCGGATCCCGGATCCCGGCCCTTAGCTCTTGCCCCCTAGCTCTAGCTCTCAGTGCAGCTCCGTCAATCAAAGCGCAAACAGAAACAAAATGAATGGCAAACAGCGGCGACTCTGACGCTGAACGCTGGGAATGGAGACGAAGTGGAGACCAGATGGAATAAGAGATGGGATGGAGATGATGTTGGGGGCAGGCGGAGGCGCAGGCATGGAGGCGGAGGGGCATGGCATGGCATGGCATGGCATGGCAATGGCCATATCCAGCGGATGTCCATTGAAAAGGGGTCAGTAGTCAGGCTGGCTAAGCGACTGTTTAGCTGCTTGTTTTGTTGTGGTCGGACGGCCCAGGCAGGGCAGGCCAGGACAGGACGAGGCCAGAACAAGGACGAGGCCAGGACGAGGCCAGGACAGGACCGGACAGGACAAGGCAGGACTAGCTGGGCCGGCGATGATGATG